ACTTGTTATCACCGGTCGGCCACGGCAACAGGCGGTCCACGAAGTCCAGAACGCTGTCAAGCACCCCACGGACCGCCTTGTCTTTGGTATTTTGTACCCAGACGGGGTGACCGCTCTCACGCAGTCGCCATTCTACGGCCTCGCGCCAGCGCTTCGATACACGGCGCTTCCAGCGTCCGACTTTCCGGCGCTGGCGCACGGCCTGCACTCGCTTGCGATAGCCTACTTCCAGGCCCTCGAGCACAGTCTCACGCGTGAGGCCGACCGCAAGCGCGATGGTGATGATGCCGAATGCCGCGTATACAAGGGTGAAGATGCGCGCGCCTGTTGTGCGCGGTTGAATATCTCCGAATCCTGTCATAGAAGGAGGTTATAAATACACGATAGCGTGGTGGGGAAGAAGTATTCACCGATCGTCTCGATTGTGACCAGAGTAAAGTACATGGCGTCGATAAAGTTGAGACTGAGGAGAATAGAGTGGATGAGCGCGCCAAACGCAATGTAGCACAGCAGGAGGATGACGAGGATCGCGAGTGAACGTTGTCGGCGCGTCAGGCCGCTTCCTAAGCGGGTTCAGTGGGCACGCACGTGTATCAGAGAAAAATCAAAACGTACCGCTATTTTCGAAGTCGGGTGTTCGCACCAGGTCCGTAATCAATGTCAGGTTGGTGAAGCTGGAGACGACCGTGGAACACACTAAAAGAGCCATGAAGATTTTTTCCTCTGAAAAGAATAAGCTCAGACGCCTACCGGTGATCCAGAAAGACTGGCCATACGTAAAACCGTCGTTGAACCTATGTTCGACGCCGAAAATAGTGACGGCAGTTATATTTATGACATCTGCCGGAAGGTGAGCACGCGACCAGGCAAGCACGTCGCGGCAGGACTCGCCGTGTATTGAGAGAAAGATAATGCAGCCCAGGGTCATCAGCTTAACCTTCGTCTCGAGAAAGCGGACCACGAGGCAGATGTTGGCGACCAACGCACAGGCCATGCTGAAGCCCAGGCCAATATTCAGGATCATCGGATTCGGGCGATTTTCGACAATTTTGTTGTCGACTGTGCGGATGTACCAGTGCTGACGGGGTGGGTGAGGGGGACTGAGTGTCAAAACGGAAGGCAAGTACCTCTGTGAGCCCAGGAATTTCGAGGAGAATGGAGAACGGGATGACGATGCCGGATAATATTGGGGTGTAGCGGTAGTTTGGGACATAAGACTCGAGGTCCTCCTGGGTCGTCTTCGGATTGAGGAACTCTTTCAATTTGAGGTACCAATCTGGGCGGTTTGAATTGTCGCCACGAAGGAGGGATGTAGACGAAGTATAGGTCCGGCCCCGTCGTAGCGAGGGCCCATTAGGCGGGTCGTCGTTGTGTTCCGCCTCGACCTCCATGCCGCGAATGATGTCGTCAGTGTCATGCTCGTCATCGAGGTCGTGGTCTTCATCGAGGTCGTCTTCGCCGCCGCTGCCTAGAGCGTTAAACTCGCTGGGGGGGCGTGTATCCGCCGGTCCTAGTGAGTTCTCGGCATGCCCGCCCTTCTCTGGGTCAGGAGCATGCCTCCTCGAGACGCTTCGGAGGGGGAGAAGAATGGCGAGGTATCTGAGCATATTCAGACAGCGAGAAGAAAGGTGGAATGTGCTGGCATGAGGTTGGGAGGAGAGAGCAAGTTTTGGAGTGGGGTCCGAATCATACCAATTGGGATTTTCGGTGATAGCCGAAGTTGTTGCCGACTTTACCGGTCTCTGGCCAACCACCATGTCCACCCTAGCACCCTATCAATCAGATCTAATCCAGCATGCCATGGAGATTGGTGCCCTTAAATTCGGCTCATTCACCCTCAAATCTGGCCGGTGTGTACCACGATAACAACCCAACATGTACTAAATCAGCCCAGCATTTCTCCGTACTTTTTCAACGCAGGTCTCCTCAGTTCCGGTCCCATTCTCGCGATTTTATCAACCGCATACGCGTCTACCATTGTATCGGCACAGTCATCTTCCACCTCCCCCCTCCCCACCTTCGATGTGCTCTTCGGACCGGCGTACAAGGGCATTCCGTTCGCGGCAACAACCGCGCTCGTGCTCTACACACAGCATGACGTCTCAGTCGGCCTTGCGTACGACCGCAAGGAGGTGAAAGACCACGGCGAAGGTGGCCAGATGGTCGGTGTCTCCGTCGCGGGCCAGAAAGTCGTCGTCCTCGACGATGTCATGACATCGGGAAAGGCCGTCCGCGGCGCGATTAACACGGTGCTGGCTCACGGGGGCGAGGTCGTGGGCGTCGTCCAGTGTCTCGACCGTGAAGAGATTGGCCAGGACGGCGTGAGCAGCACCGTCAAAGAGATCGAGAGCCTTGTCGGGGAAGGGCGCGTCAAGTCCATTTTGAAGATGCGAGACTTGATCGCGTGGCTGGAGAAGAGCGGGATGACCGAAGAGCTGGCAGCGATGAAGGTGTATTGGGACAAGTACGGCCTGAAGTGATCGCCATACTGTGCCTCAAAAGTCTAGAATCAGATCATTATCTAGATATATTGTATTCAAAAAGAATCTAAAGTAAGATCCTACTCATTGCAGACTGAATTTCATCTGGGTTCAGGAACATTAGGTGCGATCGAGATCACCAACGCGCGTCTCATTCCGGTGGTGTTTATGCACATTGTCGGCCGTCGGCGCAGCCTTCGCGGGAAGTCGATCCCTACAGTCTTGCCAAAAATTTATCCGACTGCCTCAGTTTAACTGCAATTACTTCGGGATAAAGTTTTAGACATACATAAGGTCTAGCACGGTACTGGGAAATCTTTAGAGAATCCAGGGAACATCTGACTCGGAGCCCCCAAGATGAAATTAGGGCTTCTCAAGTTGTCCCACCCAATTTGTACCTAATTTAAATTTGGATGGTTACCCCCGAACCTCAAGTTTTGCCTCAAAAAAAGTAAGGCAACTCGGATGCACCCTCTTCGGATGTGGGCTGGCATGCCCACTCGCATCTCGCCAAAGTGCCATCAATCTGATTCTCTGTTTCAATCACGGGCACACGCTGCTTTTCCCTCCGCCCACCACATTCACTTGCCATAACATGCAGTCTTCCGGCCCCTGTTCGTAAAAACCATCCTTGTTAACCTCCGCGCTGATTGAACCTTCAGGGTCACGACTCCCCTCTGAACTGGCGCGCGAAGTTACCGGACACAACGCGGACGACGTGCCAGCCTTACGCGCCCTCTCGCTCGTGTCCAAAGCAATGCGGTCGCTGGCCATCGAGGAACTCTTCTCCGTCATTCGTTTTGGATGTGCGGAAGATGTCGCTCAATGGCCTGAGATGCTTGACCGGACGCCGAGATTGGGAAACGTCGTCCGGAAAGTCAAGTTTTCGCGGGGCCCAAACAGGTCGTGGCTTCAAGGATATAGGAATCCGGTCACGACTCCGTTGTCAGATTCCGCTATCCCACCTATAATCCCCCCAATGTTGAGCGTCCGTGTCGTCGAATGGCACGACACAAACGCTCGGTATGGGGTAAGCTTTCAGCTCGGAATGGCCGTGGCATATATGGCTTTGTTCCCAAAGGTACAGAAGGTGTATCTTAGCAACATCTATTTCGACCGCCGGAGCTCCCTGACCAAATTCCTTGGTGTTTGTGGAACCCTCAAAGTTCTCTCGCTCCTGGACACATATCCGACTGTCTCTGGCTCAGAGTCAGACAGTTCGGATGTCAGCGGGACACCGGACTCCTTCGACCTCACCGAGCTCGAGGAACTGGTTGTCTCATCCACTTATATCGGGCACAAAGATTTCCTCATCCCTCTGCTGGAACGCTCCCGCCTACTAAGCTCAAGTCGCTGAGCTTCGAGAACTTCAGGGTGCCCGATCGAGACCCGTGCTCGATACCTGCAATGGAGAAGCTCTTGCGGCTCGCTTCCCCATCTCTCGTGCATCTGGTTATGGAACCGTATTGGGTACACACCTCTCGTGAGCAATATTCTGCCAGCTCTCGGTTTCCCTCGATGACCTTCCTGGCAGAGAATCAGATCGCGGACATGTTCGCCCGCCTCCCTCCACTCCCGGCTCTCCGCTCGCTCACCCTGTGGCTCAGCGCCAACCGCCGGGCGGAAATAGTGGTTAACGCATTCACCGCTGCTCCGAACCTCGAGACACTCATCTTTCGCATTGGATTCCGCGAGCCCGAGTACGAAGACGACGAGGACCGCCAGTACCTCGAGGCAATATTGCGCCTCGCATTCCCCTGGGGCTCATCCGAGTCTATGAACTGCGCGCTGAAGCACAAGTTTCCGTTGATAAAACGGCTTGGGTTCCATTTCTGTCCGCCGTGCAATTCGGCCCTCCATTTTCGAGGCGGCTTGCGCAAGAGGATGGAGTGGCGGCTGAAGGAGCATTTGGCTCACACGGGCGCGGATGTGGCGGGATACATCGAAGTGGATTGGCTCGACGACGATTACAACCCGGTCGCATATGACAAGATGAGCGGGAAGGCTCCGTGGAAGGCTCCCCCTGACTTGTTGTGGGAGGACTTGCACGCGGAGAACGAAGCCATCGATTGCGAGTCTGAGAAGTCAGACGAAGACGTCGCGGATGATTTGGACTCGGACGGGTATCCTCGTACGTGGCCGGCGGACGATGTTGAGGATTGCTCGTATAGCCCGTAATGTGTATCAGTGTATCAGAAGTGGTGTCGATGGCCGTGTGGTTTAAGCTACCGGCCGTTAATTTATAGGTGGCCGATTCCACTGTAACAACATTCGATCGAGAGTAGTCTGCTGTGAACCAGAATTAGTCCAGCCTGTGTATCATTCTCAACTTCCTCGACTGTGCATCGCTCTCCGAGTCACGGAACTAAGCAATCGGGTGTGTGAATCAACCACCGAATCTGTTCGTTTGGATCCTAAAAAACAGAAAGTTGCAGGGCGTAATAGTCAAGGATGGATGTAAAGTAAATACCATGATCGGGTGAAGAAGAAAAAAAAAAAAAATGTGGAAGACCAGATCCACGGCCTGACCCCGATTCGAACAGAAAGCTTCAACCTCAAACAATTCTACTTTCAAATTGCTAGGCGATGCACTATCCAGTTGTGCTATCAGGCCATTCCTAAAGGCTTCGTTCTTCCATTAACGTGAATATCGAAAATTGAACTTGCTGTCGAATTTCAAGCACCATTTCAACCGAGCAGGGATTGATGCTCAACCTCGTTCCGTTCTTCCGTTCTCCTTCGTTTGCTGTCGATTCCACATGCTGGGGATATCGGAGAGCTCAAATTTAGAATGGAGCCAGCTAGAATTTCGAGACAGCAAGCAAAAAAAAGAAACACGTCAAAAAGGATACTTGACAAGCCTGACCCGAATTCGAACGGGGATCTTCTCCTGCGTAAATTGCGTGGTTGTAAATTGAAGGAGATGCACTATCCAGCTATGCTACCAGGCCAACAACGGCTACTGTAATACGCGGGATTCAAAGCAAAGCAAAGTTGAACCTTGATTTTCCAATTCGACGAAAATCAAGGTTCAGGTCGGGTTTAAGTCAAGTTTTCCTTTGGTATGCAAAATACATCCTCCTCATCCTCCCTCGCGAGGGTAGCCATTCTGAGCCGGTTACACGAGAACGAGATCGCTACCGGTGTGAGCACTGCGAATTTCGCGAAAGAGAGCAAAAAGCGGTGTGCTGAGACATCATGGCCTGACCCTGAGTCGAACTAGACTCGAGGCAGTCGCTTTTCGGGCACGGAAACTGTTGATGACAATCGATCAACAGGCCGGCGGCTTCGCCATCACCCTTGGATCGACTGTCATCTAAGGTCCAGTGTTGGCGTGTCTGCGGCTGGGTTCGAGCCTAGAGTCGAACGGGGATCTCCTGCTTATTATGTGACACATAAGGCCAAGTTCAAACAAGGGCACTATCCAATTGTGCTATCAGGCCGATACCAAGAGGAAGAAATCTCTTTTCAACCTATAGAGTTGAATTTTGTTGAGGATGGAGTTGAACGGCCGCGGCGCTCTTCAGATATATTCGGATTGCACTAGTTTGAGGTGCGTTGGATCCACTCATTGGGGTCAGGATTAATATTGTGTATGTTCTACGTGAGGGGAAGAAAACGCTGGCGCCTGGAGGCTTAAATGTAATATTGGTATTAAATAAACGGGGTCGTTGAGTTGGCGTTCGGAAGCGTGCTCGGGCGGTGAAGCTTTGAAGAGCTTCCTGCTGCGGGTGTGATGTCAAGCAATGACTCGTGCATTCTTGCACAGAGAACGACGGTTGCAGCTACACGCCGGTCCTCTTCGTACGTATATTGGCAGCACTAGTATTGAATACAATATGGTGGTGTGAGCATCTCGTATAACTGTAAAAGTATCAATGGACCAGCGCTTGAGAGGAGTTAAAAGTACATTGAGAGTACACGCCGCCGCCTAATAAAACCCGCCCGTCTTGCCCGTCCCAAATCGGTCCCCGAGTCCCTTGGCCTCTTTGAGCATCTTATTCCGCTTATCATCGTCCATAAGCCGCCCACTCAGCGCCATATCGCGGTCCCGATCCCAGATGCCCTTGCGGTCGTCGGCGCCGTCCTCGCCCTTGCCCGCCTTGGCGTGCATGTCCACGAGCGCGGACCCGCGCGTCTTGCGCGTGTGCTCCTCGACGCCGCGGCGCAGCTCCTCGTCGACGCGCTGGCGCTTGCGCGCCTCGAGCTCCTCCGCGGCGGAGACGGCGTCGCCCGCGTTGGCCGCGCGCCGCTTCTTGCCCACGACCTCGTCCGCGAGGCGCTGCTGCCGCTCCGCGGGCGTCTCCGTCCACAGGGTGTTGTCCGTGCTGCGCCCCGGCGCGGCGCTGCGCGCGAACTGCCGCGGCTTGAGCTTCGTCGGGTCGAGGTCTGCATGAAGCGCGGTTAGTCTCGAGAAACAATTAACGAGCATAAAACACGGACTTCCGAGCACGGACGACGTCGGCGGGACGAGCATCCACTCGTCGCGCTTCGGCGCCTTGGGCTTCGCTGCCTCCTCCACCTCCCTCCGCCGCTTCTCCTCCTTGGCCATGAACTCGCTCACCGCGTCGCGCTCCGCGAAGCCGACGCCCGCGGGGAGCGGCCGCGGGCCGACGTCGTCGTCGTCGTCGTCGTCCGCGGGGTAGTGCGCGCGGCGGTCGTACGTGGGCGGGTATGCGGGCGGCATCGTGGGGCCTGCGACGGGCTTCTTGGAGGAGGAGGTGAGCATGTCGGGTGGGAGTGCCGGCGCGTAGTCGTCCTCCGAGTCGTCGTCCTCCGCGACGGCGGCGGTGGGCGGGGGAAGAGCGGGGCCGGCGACGGCGGGGCCCTCGTCGTCGTCGCTGGCATCGTCAACGTCGTTGAGGAGGTGGGCAGGGAGGGCGGGGCCGATGGCGGACATGATGGTAAAGAGGTGGCGGTGCTAGACATCACGATCCGGAATGGGAATTTCTGGATCAACGCGACCCTTCAAGTTTACGTGGGGATCCCCGCTATCGCCATGGACGGCGACGAACACCCTTGAGCGGGCGCCAAACGAATGCACCGAGCGCCAAAAGAATCCAGATCGTGGCCCTTGGCGGCGAATCGACGGGCAACCTCTGGCTAGGACACGAGCTCTTTGTTGTACAAAGAAGCAAAGGCATGTCCTGATCATTTCAAAGCTTACTTAAATAGCGCAGGCAACATGAGGTATAAAAGTCAAATAGGCGAGCCTTTCCCTGCCCTTTAACCTTTCCCATGTCTCAAGCGTGCCCCAGTCTCCTGTCGAACGGGATCTGTGAGAGTCCCTCTTGCTCCTATCGCCACGATGTATCGAGCTGCGAGCTCTGCAACCGCGTTTTTGCTTCGCCGGCCGAGTACACCACCCATGCCGCGACGAAGCAGCACCTCAACAAAGTCCAAGGCGAATTTGGCGCCATGCTGTATTGTACACTGTGCGAAAAGTATGTCTCCGGAATGAAGAATTGGGTCCAGCACGTTGCTAGCGGCCGGCACGCCTCGATCGCAGCTGAGCGCGGTCTGCGCCCAGACGTCGACCCGGAGGAGCCCGAATCCATCCCTGGGCACACCCTCTGCTCTACGTGCAACTCGCACATCCCCGATCGCAACTGGCCGCGGCACCACCTTACCCCGAAGCACAAAGACCGCGAGCAGTTCATATCGTTTCGCTCCGCTTTGGACGAGGCCGAAAAGGACAAGCACGGCATTTCCGTCTCAGGGAACTTTGACTTTGGCATCGTCGACGGGCCCGCCGCGAAGTCTGGCATCACCATCCGTCCCACGATCCACAATGCTACGCCGGCGTCCAAGGTCGCTCTCGTGAGTATGACCCTCGCGTCTGACAAAGGCAGCCGGACGCAGTCCCCGTAAATCATTCTTCTTGGCCTTCTAATGCCCGCTAAAACCGTTCCAAGGTTCTCGGTCCCTCCCACCGCCCCAAATCTTGCCATCGGCTACAATTCGACGTACGCCTTCACAGTCACCCTCCGCCAAGCCTACAACGGGCGCGAAGAAAACCGGCTCGAGATTCTGTTCGAGGACGTGCAGCTCAAGACGCGCTTCATCATCGCCCGCATCCTGCGCGTCAATGTGGGGAATCGCGCCGACCACGAACTGCTCCGGCCCCTCGCGCCGTATGTCCCTCGCAAACGTACTGCGAGACAACCAGAGGCGAAGATCGTCGAGGGCGTTTTGCCCCCGTCCTTGAAGGCCATCCCTTACATCGTGCCGCTTCCAGAGGCTCCTATTCCCCACAACCTGGCTGCAGCGCTGTCGACGGGCAGCACAACGAGCATCGTCGCGGACGTTCGCCGGCTGTATCTGCCGCCCGTGTTGGACAGCAAGTCGTATGCGCGGCATTTCAAACACTTATTGTGGATCGAGGAATTCCGTATGGAGTGCGTTATTCTGCGCATCAAGATTGGTCTTCGACTCATTCTCGTTTGTAGCCGCGACCTTGAGCACTACGACATCTCCAACGCCAAGCTGACCGCCCACAACCACTTTTATCTGTGTGTCCGATATTCCGGCATCTCGACAGCTTCTGATCTGTTCTCAGCCTCGACGTCCCTGGCCTAGCCGAAAAGCGCCCCAGCGTCCTCGTCGGTCCGTCTTGCCTGTTCCTCAATCGCTCTGTCCTCACAAACATCTAGGGGACCGCATCCTTGTGCAAAAGCGCGGGGCGACTCTCGGGCACTGGTTCGAAGGCGGCGTGCATTTCGTGCGCAAGGAGGAAGTCGGGCTCCGGTTCAACGCCTCCTTCAGAATGACGTCGCCCGCCGACCGGTTCAACGTGCGCTTCAAGCTCAGCCGGTACCCGCTGCGCCGCCAGCACCTTGCGATGGACACCGCCTTCTCGGAGGCCCGCGTGCTGTTCCCCCTGCCCCTCCATGTGCCGGCGGGCAGCTACCCCACACCCGCGAGCGCGCGCCTCACCGTATTCAATCCGCTCATCGCGACGAACGCGCCCCAGCTCCAGGCGGTGGTCTCCATCGTCAAGCGCCCGCCGGGCTCCGTGCCGTTCGTCATCTTTGGGCCGTAAGCCCCGTCTCCGTCTCCGCGCCCCCGACGCCGCTAATGATCGTCATCGCAGACCCGGCACAGGCAAGACGGTGACGATGGTCGAAGCCATCCGCCAGGTCCTCGCCGCGGACCCGCACGCGCGCATCCTCGCGTGCGCGCCGAGCAACTCCGCGGCGGACCTCATCGCGCACCGGCTCACCGCGCTGGGCCCGGACGCGCTCTTCCGGTTCTACGCGCCGTCGCGCAGCAAGGAGCAGGTTGCCCTCGAGCTGCGCGAGTACACGCACGCGCGGCCGGACGGGCACTTCTCCGTGCCGCCGCTCGCGCGCATGAAGCGCTTCCGCGTGGTCGTCGCGACGTGCGTCTCGGCGAGCGTCGTCTCGGGGATCGGCATCCCGCGCGGGCACTACAGCCACATCTTCTGCGACGAGGCGGGGCAGGCGACCGAGCCCGAGATTATGATTGGTAGGCCATTCATTTCTCGCCGGGCTGGGCGGTGCTGACACTTGCTGGCACAGCGATCAAGACGATGGCGGACAGCCGGACGAACGTCATGCTTTCGGGCGACCCGAAGCAGCTGGGGCCCATCATCCGCTCCGCCGTCGCGCGCGAGCTCGGGCTCGAGACGAGCTACATCGAGCGGCTGATGCAGCGCGAGATATACGACGAGAAGACGGGCTACGGCGCCTCGTACGTGATGCCTGCTCAGCTTCGCCCCGCCTCCGTGTGCTCATCGCATCGCACCCAGCGTCGTCAAGCTGACGAAGAACTTCCGCTCGCACGCCGCGATCCTCGCGTTCCCGAACACACGCTTCTACAAGGGCGAGCTGCAGGCGTGCGCCACCGCGCGCGTGACCGACGCGCTCCTCGGCGCGCCGCTCCTCCCGACCGCGGCGTTCCCGATCGTGTTCCACGCGCTCGCAGGCAGGGACGCGCGCGAGGCGGCGTCCCCGTCGTTCTTCAACATCGACGAGATCTCGCAGGTCAAGGCGTACATCCAGGCCCTCCGCGCGGACCGGCGGTTCCGCGTCAGTGCGTCTCTTTGCTTTTCTCGTGAATGTGAATACGGAGCTGATGGATGGGTGGATGCAGCGGACGACGACATCGGCGTGATCGCGCCGTACCACGCGCAGTGCCTCAAGATCCGCGCCGTGCTGCGCGCCGTCGCCGACGGGGTGAAGGTCGGCAGCGTCGAGGAGTTTCAGGGCCAGGTGCGTTTCTCCTCCTCCTAATCTATGCAGCGGGACGCTGACGCGCCCAAAGGAACGCCGCGTGATCATCATCTCCACCGTGCGCAGCAGCCGCGAATTCGTCGCGTACGACCTCCGCCACACGCTCGGCTTCGTCGCCAACCCGCGCCGCTTCAACGGTGCGCCCCCCTCTCCTCCTTACTTCTCCGCCGAATGCGCCGACTGATGTGGATGTACTGTACTTAGTTGCGGTGACGCGCGCGCAGGCGCTGCTCATCGTCGTCGGCGACCCGGCCGTGCTGGCGCTCGACCCGCTGTGGCGCGCGTTCCTCAACTACGTGCACGCGCGCGGCGGGTGGACGGGACCGCCGCCCACGTGGGACCCGCGCGCGGCGGTGGAGGAGGCGGGCGGGTACGATCGCGCGGTGCGGGAGGCAGCGCAGCGGGACATGAATGCGTTTACGCGGCGCATGGAGGCGCTGACGATCGCGGGCGTGGAGGCGGCCGGGGCTGGCGAGGACGGCGACGACGATACGAATGTCGACCGGCCGTGGCAGGACGTCGAGTGAGGGGTTGCAGTGGACGTCGTATACTATAAGTCGAATGAAAGGACATGAATACGTTCAAGAGGCGCTGACGATCCCGGGCTAGAAGGCGGCTGGGGCTGGCGAGGACGGCGACGCCGACGACGATGCGAATGTCGACCAGCCGTGGCAGGACGTCGAGATGTAGAAATCTTATTTCTTGAATACGTACATAATACTACAAGGGACATGAATGCGTTCACGATTGCGGGCTGGAGGTGGCTGATAACGAGGATATCGACGACGACACGACGACCGTCCGTGGCAGGACGTCGAGGGATCAGATTTTCAAATAAGCTACACAAAGTCGAATCGAATCGAATCAAAAAAAGCAAAGCGGATATTATTACGAGTCTATCTCAATCAATCTAGTAAGCGACGACACAACACAGCGGGCGTGTCTTTTAGTAGTGGTGGACCTGCGTGCGGGCGTCAGTGGCTGCTGCGGAAGCGGGGGGCAAGGGCGAAGCTAGAGGAAAGGGAGGGGAGGCACGGCAGAGGGGAAAGAAGGGAAAGTGCAGGCACAAGGCAGGGGAAGGGAAGGAAGGAAAGGCAAGGGAGGGATGTGCAGCAGAAAGGAGGGAAGGGAAGGAAAGACGAAACGCACCTCCTCGCGCTCGCGGCCGCGCATGTACGGGGGCTCGGTGCCCTTGTAGTAGATGTCGGTCCAGAGATCCTTGAGGAGCGGCTCGGGCGACGCCTTGGCCTCCTCGACGGCCGCGTCGACTTCGGCCTTGGCGTTCTTGTCGAGTTGCTGGGAATTTATGTGTTAGAAATGGAAAAAAGCGGAGGAAAGAGGAAGGAAGCGCACCTTGAGCTCCTGTTCCGACGCGAGCCCCCACTCCTCGATATAGCGCTGCAGCCCACGGATGGGGTCCTGCGTGCTGCGCATGCGCTGCACCTCCTCGCGCGTGCGGTACGTCGTGCCCGGGTCGCTCATCGAGTGCCCGCCGTAGCGGTACGTGACGAACTCGAGCAGCAGCGGCCCGCGCTTCTCGTCGACGGTCCACCGGCGCGCGAAGCGCACCGCCTCGCGCGCGGCGATGATGTCCATCCCGTTCACGCGCAGCCCCGCGATCTTGTCCCCGCGCGTGAAGTACTCGGTGTTCGCCGAGCTGCGCTCCGCGGACGTGCCCATCCCGTACTTGTTGTTCTCGCACACGAAGACGCACGGGAGGTTCCACAGCTTGGCCTGCGGCGCGTCAGCTCTTTCCTACAATTTAGTATAAAGAGAAAGGGGCGCACCATGTTGTACGCCTCGAAGACCTGCCCCTGGTTGCTCGCGCCGTCGCCGTAGAGCGCAAACGTCGCGGCGTCCTTGTCCATGTACTTCTGCGCGAACGCGAGCCCGGCGCCGACGGGCACCTGCGCGCCGACGATGCCGTTCCCGCCGAAGAACGACGGCGTAAAGATGTGCATCGACCCGCCCTTGCCGTGCGACATGCCGATCTGGCGCCCGAGCAGCTCCCCGATGACGCCCTTGATCGTCCCGCCGCGCAGCACCGCGAACGGGTGGCAGCGGTACGCCGTGATCACGCGGTCCTCGGGTGTGATGCCCGCCTCGAGCCCGACGGACACGGCCTCCTACAGTCCCAACGAAAAAAGTATCAGAAAATGAAATGAAGACGGCGGGGCGACGATACGCACCTGCCCGATAGCGAGATGGCAGAAGCCGCGGATAAGCTTCGCCTTATAGAGTGCGTCCGCGGCCATCTCCATGCGGCGCATGCTCGTCATCTGCTTGTAGAGCCCGAGCAGCTGGTCCTTGGTGACCTCGACCTCGAGACCGGGCGTGTCGCACAGGTACGACTGGAACGAGTCCTCGTGCAGCTTGACGGTGAAGGGCTGCGAGAGGTCCGCGGGCGGCTCGTGCAGCTGCGTGGTGTCCGCCGACGTCTGCACCGCGCGCGCGAGCTGCGGCTGGAGACGCAACGCAAAACGCAAAACGCAAAGACACACGGAAAATCAGGATTGTTGTGGGATGGCGAGGGGGCGGCTTACGATGCGACGGACGACGCGAAGTCGGGCTGCTAGTGAGGCCATGAAGGAGAAAGATACGCCTCAGGCGCGGACGGATGAAGGGAGAAAGGAGGAAGAGAGCGGCCGTTAGTGATCGGGAATTCCCGGGATGTCCCCCCAAGGATTGGTGGTGGGGCAAAAGCTGCGTCCGCAACTCGCAGAAAATTACACTTTGACTCGGAGGGTATAGGATATGGTATTCTAAGCACCCATTTACACGACGTCGCATTGCACGGTCAAACGTGTTATTATTTCGGGGTAATTGAACGCGAAATATTCCAGCTGCAGAGAACTTCGCGACGAAGAATGAACGCACGACCATCCAACAACCCATTTTTCTCCAATGATACATATTACAAACTCTCCGCTCAGTCCTGCCCAAGCCGCTGCCCCTGCCCCCAATTATACCCACCGCCCGCAGCCGCAGGCGCCGCCGCCGCCGCGCGCGCCGGCTCCCCGAGCGGCCGGCGCGGCGGCACGACATGCACCCCGCCCCCCGCATTCGCGCCCGCCGTCCCCCCCGCCGCGCCCGCCGTCGGCGGCGGCGCGTCCGCGTCCTCGCCCATCCACTCGCGCAGCCAGCGCGGCGCGGCGCCCCACTCCGCGAGCATCCCGCCCGCGCCGCCGACGGCGGGCCCCCACACGCCCCACCACCAGAGGTGCCCGACGACCGCGCCGGGCAGCGCGGCGGCGACGGCGCCTGGCCCCGCGAGGAGGAGGTCCATGAGGAGCATGATGTACGGCGTGTACACGGCGGGGAGCTGCACGAGGCCCATGATCGAGGTCTGTGCGCCGACGGGCGCGAGCGCGGAGCTGAGGTAGGCGAGGCAGAGGAGGAGCGGGCGGAAGAAGACGACTGAGCCGACGGGGAGGGACGTTATCTGCGGCGAGTGGTTGAGCATTACATGGAGCAGAAGGGAGAGGGGGAGGGGGCGCACGATGATGAGGCCGCTGGCGGCGAAGAGCTGCCACGCGAGGTCCGCCGACTTGCGCGCGTACGGCCCTGCCTCGAGCTGGTCCGTCTGTCGGCTGCGATATCACCGCCGTCAGCGCACAAACCAAACCCTCGGAATAGGAACAAACGCAACTATAGCATAGCGAGCTCTGTCCAAACATCATCATCAGCCGCGCCCAAGCACTCTCGACACCGACGCACCAAAAACATAATTGATCCCGCCACCTGCGCGCACTCATCAGCCTCTCAAAACACAACGGGCGCACGCGCACTCACTCCCCAGGAAAAAGCTCGTGTACAGCCGCCACACCTACCCCCCCACCGTCAGCGCGGCGCCGGAATACGGATACACGGAATGCGCACCTGGAGTTGCTCGAACACGAGCCCGTACGTGTACACGACCCTGTACGGCGAGACGAGCCCCATCATCGTCGAGAGCGAGACGCCGACCGAGGAGAGGCACAGCACGCGCGTCACTGGCGGAATTTTTCGGATTTCGGCGAGGAGGTCGTTCATGCTGGTCGAGGAACTTGAAGAGGATGAGGAAGGAATGGATTAGAAAGTTCGGCCGGCACTGACGTGTCGCACACGTGACGCCGCCTCTTTGATTGCGGCGCGTCGCGTCGTCGCGAATATCCTACAAAAGATTCAACTTCGTAGTTTATAAGGAGATCCTCCGTAGCTGTCGTCGACCTGATGAAAATTGGATACTGCTAGTGCCCTTGTTCCAACTGGAGCGCCGCGAGACCGCTAGATGGCTGGTCAATGGTCATGGCATTGACATTTTCATTTTTCCTCTCTGTTCCGCGGAATTCGCGGTCGAAATTTAGGGAAAGATTTCGTCATTTTCTTGTACCAGGATTTAGAATACCCGCAGGCAAGGGCGACTTGAGAAGTTAAACAGTTGATTTAAATTGTTTTTACCGTGGAGTTCAACTTTGAGATATTCACATTCAAATGTAGCCCTCCTGCTGTTGTCGGCCTGATAGCACAAGTGGATAGTGCCTCTCCTTACCTTATGCTTGGACATACTGTAAAGATCAAGGGGAAGATCCCCGTTCAATTCCGGGTCAGGCCCTCGCTTTTTGCGCTGTTCTTTGACATTTGATTCAACACTTTTTAGGCTGCCCACCCGTTGAATGTACATATGGCCGGCTGTACTAATGCGGCATCTCTGAGTACCTTCGCCTGAGTCCATAGTACTAGTAACTGCAGCAAATGTACGGAGAAAGGGACAGAGTCGAACATCAATTCCAGAGCCGTCACGGTAAATTGATTCAACTTCACCTTCGATTTTTGATGGTCAGGTAAAGGGAACAGTACCCACCGGAGCATCGGCCTGATAGCACAGTTGGATCGTGTATCTCCTCTCAATTTCGAGAAGCTAAAGTAATTAAGCTGGAGAAGATCCCCGTTCGATTCGGGTCAGGCTATTCCATACGGCTCTGATTCGCCGTTCTTTTTTGATGTGTTCCTTTTGGCTTGCTGCCTGAAAATTCCAGCTGACTCCGTTCTACATTTGAGCTCTCCAATATCCCTGGCATGTGGAACCTGCAGCAAAGGAAGGAGAATGGAACGAGGTTGAACATCAACCTGCTCGGTTGACGTCCAACATCAAGTTCAATTTTTGATTTACACGTTGAGGGAGAAGCGAAAGCCTTTAGAAAAGGCCTGATAGCACAACTGGATAGTGCATCACCTAACTATTGTAATGAGAGCTGGTAGGAGATGGAGGATCCCTGTTCGACTCAGGGTCAGGCCGTGGATCTTCTTGCGTGTTTTCTTTTGTTTTTTCTCCAGTCCTTACGTCCAGGCTGCCAGCAGCCTCTTCCGCACAAATTCAATGCTGCCACCGCTCAATGATCCGACTCTCCACAAGTGCGAATTTCGTTGGTTCGAAATATGGTGTAACAATGCCAGTGATCGCCGTAACTGTGATGGCTCATGTCCGCCATTGGCCCCGCCCTCCCTCCTCACCTCCTCAACAATGTTGACGATACCAGCGACGACGACGAGCGCCCCGCCGTAACCGGCCCCGCCCGCCCACCCGCCGCTCGCCGCCGTCGCGGAAGACGACGACTCGGAGGACGACTACGCGCCGGCATGACCAGACATGCTCGCCTTCTCCTCCAAGAAGCCCGTCGCAAGCCCCGCGATGCCGCCCGCATACCCGCCCACGTAACACCGCCGCGCACACTACCCCGCGAACGACTCGGACGACGACGATGTCGGCCCGCGTTCGCTCCCCGCGGGCGTCGGCTTCGCGGAGCGCGACGCGGTGAGCGAGTTCATGGCCAAGGAGGAGAAGCGAAGTCGGGAGGTGGAAGAGGCGCCGAAGCCCAAGGCGCCGAAGCGCGATGAGTGGATGGTTGTCCCGCCGACGTCGTCCGTGCTCGGAAGTCCGTGTCTTATGCTCGTCAATTGTTTCTCAAGACTGACAAGACTCACGCAGACCTCGACCCGACGAAGCTCAAGCCGCGGCAGTTCGCGCGCAGCGCTGCGCCCGGGCGCAGTACAAACAACACCCTGTGGACGGAGACGCCCGCAGAGCGACAGTAGCGCCTCGCGGACGAGGTCGTGGGCAAGAAGCGGCGCGCGGCCAACGCGGGCGACGCCGTCTCCACCGCGGAGGAGCTCGAGGCGCGCAAGTGCCGGTGCGTCGACGAGGAGCTGCGCCGCGGCGTCGAGGAGCACACGCGCAAGACGCGCGGGTCCGCGCTCGTGGACATGCACGCCAAGGCGGGCAAGGGCGAGGACGGCGCCGACGACCGCAAGGGCATCTGGGATCGGGACCGCGATATGGCGCTGAGCGGGCGGCTTATGGACGACGATAAACGGAATGAGATGCTCAAAGAGGCCAAGGGGCTCGGGGACCGATTTGGGACGGGCAAGACGGGCGGGTTCTATTAGGCGGTGTGTACTCCCAATGTACTTTTAACTCCACTCTCAAGCACTGGTCCATTGATACTTTTACAATTATACGAGATGCTCACATCACCATATTGTATTCAGTACTAGTGCTGCCAATATACGTACGAAGAGGACCGGCGTGTAGCTGCAACCGTCGTTCTCTGCAATAGTGAACGAATGCATTCTTTACCTGGACTCACCCGCAACAGGAAGTTCTTCATTGCCTGAGCGCGCTCTCCCGAACGCCAACTCAACGACTCGTTATTTAATGCCAGTATTAATTTTTAAACCTCCAGGGGACACTGTTTCTTTCCCCTCGAGTACAATGTCGTCCAAGCACAATGCAGCAGCCGTACGAGCTCCGGTCCGATGAGTATATATCCAAACTCACGAGTCTGCGCGCGGCAGTCCGAATATAGCTGAACTGAAGAGCGCCGTTCGACTCCACATTAATCAACCAATCCAACTTCATACTTTGAAGTGTAATTCCTTCTTCCAGTTATCGGCCTGATAGCACAATGAGTAGTGCCCTTGTTAGACTTTGTTTTCGACCATTGCGAGACACAGGTGGTCCCCGTTCGACTCGGGGTCAGGCCATGAGACTTTGACAGACACCTTTTTGCTCTCTTTCGCGGAATTCGTAGTCTTCGCACCGGTAGCAATCTCATTCTCATGTAAATCTTGTCTTCGGCTCAGAATTGCTAACGCGCGAGGCAGGAGGAGGATATATATTACATACCAAAGGAGAACTTGACTTGAACCCCCAACTTACACTTTGATTTTCCAATTCGACTTCCACTTCGCCTTTTGCTAAATTGGTTTGAGTCCCGTCTATTATAATAACTGCTGTTGGCTTGATAGCACAGCTGGATAGTGCATCTCCTCAATGTAGAAGAAGATGAGTTGTACAGGAGAAGATCCCCGTTCGATTCGGGGTTGGGCTATTGCAGTTTGTTGCACGTCTTCTTTTTTGACGTGTTCCTTTTTGCTTGCTGCCTGGAAATTCCAGCTGGTTCCGTTCTAAATTTGAGTTCTCGTGGATCCCTGGCATGTGGGATCGACAGCAAAGGAAGGAGAATGGAACAACATTAAACATCAATGGATCCCTCCTCGGTTGAAATTCAACTTGAAGTTCAATTTTCAATTTCCTGGGTGGGGGAAAAACACAAGCCTTTAGGAATGGCCTGATAGCGCAGCTGGATATAGTACATCGCCTAACGATTGGAAAGTAGAGTTGTTTGAAGATTCCTGTTCGACTCGGGGTCAGGCCGTGGATCTGGTCTTCCATGCTTTTTTCTTCGCCTGGGACCCGTTCACGGTATTTGCTTTACATCCTTCACTATTACGCCCTTCAACATTCTGTTCTTCAGGATCCACCCCGTACGAAGCCGAGGAAGTTGAGAAGGATACACAGGCTGGACTAATTCTGGTCCACAGCACGGACTACTCTGAACAGTCTCGAGGGCTATACAAGTAATTCTCATCATCGTCTGCTGGCCATGTACGAGGATGTCTGTCCGAGTCCAAATCATCTGCGATGTCTTCGTGTGACTTCTCAGACTCGCAATCGCTGGCTTCATTCTCCGGTTCCGAGTCCTCCCACATCAACAACTCAGGGGGAGCCTTCCACAGAGCCTTCCTGTTTGTTTTGTCATATGCGACCGGCTTGTAATTGTCATTGAGCCAATATCCTTCAATGTATCCTGCCACATCTGTGCCCATTTCAGTCAAATGCTCCTTCACCTGCCACTCCATCCTCTTGCACAAGCTGCCTCAAAAATGGAGGGGTGAATTGCACAGTGGTGATAGGTATTAGGCTGGCCCTGTGACCAGGCGTGAAATCTTTCAATTTGCATCTGTTGTTACTCACTAGGACCACATAAGTCCAATAGATCATGCTCCAGAGAGCTAGTGTGAGGTCCAAACATCTAGCTAAGGATATACTACTGTCAGCATAGCAGCTCATCGGGTTCTCAGAACGTGACTGAGGCGACTGAAAAGCAAAGTTGAGTGGGACAAGCAAACAAGCAGCTGGAGTATAGACCAGAATAGTATAAGGAGTAGTAGAATAATACAGGGTTTATATACCAGTGCCAAGGGATTTATAGGGGGTTAGGGGGTTTGGTGTCTGTGGCAACAGGACACATAGGGTTAATGTAGGCTTAATGCAAAACAGTAATACCAATCGTTGCTCCTACAATTGATATTTGGAGGGGTTGAGTCCAGAATAGCGGAATTGAACTCTGGGATAACGGAAAAGAATTCCGGATCATGGCAACTATGTGTGCTAGCTGTAGGCACTTGGTTGTGATAACGGTACCACTGTGGACCAGATTCCCGAGCAGCTATACTACCTTTAGCAAAAGGTCATTCATCCATTCTGTGAGGAACTGGGACTTGCCTGCACATTCCTATCAAGGATATAGTTACCGCACGCCATCTAGACAATGGGCAATACACTGGAGACACAATTAGAGTTTGCGCAACGTCGCGGTGGTCAAAGCGACCTCGCACGATGACAAGTCCGACATTTCCTGATAAAGCCGATCAGGCTTTTGACAGGAAGTGTCAACAGTTTAACCGGACTAGTGATCGGGCCAACAGGACAACAGATCCGGGCAGCTAAATAGGGATCATTCTAATCCAGACCCTCGCTTTAACCAAGCCCCAGAAACCATATGGAGCTGTCATTTACCACATGAGATCTGCAGTGCAGCAACTGCGGACTCAAGTCAGAGTGGAGCAAACCATGTGGTTCGTTCCTAGTGTGACTGAGGACAGAGATCTCAGCTGCCATTAAAATAATAAATATACTATTTTCTTGTGAACTGACTTTCAACAGGACCAGTTTCATAGCTAAATGAGTTCATAGTGTTTATCCAACGAGTTCTAAATACCTGTTTGTATTATTTTGTGACCAGATATTGTGATTTCTTTATTTAGATCTCTTGTTTGTATAAATACCTGTAGTTCTCTGAGAGGAAACCAGTGGATTCTACCCTTTTTTACCCAGAGACCAAGGCTACCAGCTAGGTCCTGTGTGGGAACGTCTAGACTCTATTCAGCATAACTCTAGGAACTTTTAGTTCTTTCCACTGGTTGAACATTTCGAATTTTTCAGTGAGAAAACTGGTGAAAAACTTTACCGATATTACACTAATTTTTCATCGAAAAAGTAGGTGAAAAACTCGAAACTTTTTCAGAACTTTTTCTGTTTTTGGCGAAAAAAGTGATTGTGAGTCAAAAAGTTCTGTATATATTTTGAGTTTTTCACCTATTTTTTCAGTGAGAAATTCCTGTAAAATCGGTAAAGTTTTTCACCAATTTTCTGACTGAAAAACTTGAAATGTTCAGCCAGTGTTCAGTTAGCTTACATTGTGGGAATAAATTTCATTTCGATTAATATTTGAACACAAGGCAAGTTGAGATGTTCAAAAGAGCTAATCAAGTGCAAGTTACAAGTTACCAGTACATGCAAACAAGTTGAACATCAGATTTCTGTGGAGCTGTGACCTTCATTGTTACTTTGCCATAGTTATCAAACCAGTTACCAGAATATAGGTTGCCAGATGAAATCCTATTGATCTTAAGATCACCCTGGAAGTAATTCCAAACCCCTGTTACACCAAACCCACTTTCCTTACCTTCAGAGGTCGTGTTAAGTACCTAGACCGGTCTGATTGTCCCAAAAGTCACCTTGAGCTAAAAACTGCTATTGCGTTGTAAAGTCCCAAATTGCACTGCCTAATACCTGGTAGGAACCCCAAACTTGCATGTTTGATAGTTTGAGTTGTTGTGTGTTGTTGGTGTTGGCTGTTCACTTTTGTGTTCAGCTTACACACTTCATTTCACCTGTGATTCAATAGTCAGCGTTTCAGCAGATAGAAATGGAACCCAAGCCGCTTTATCAACGGAAACTTGCGCTTCAGTGTGTAGTTCATAGACTCGGATGAGCCCAAGGGGAAAACACAGTGCAATATTACCTCGAGATACTGACAGTCCTCGTCGTCTTTGTACTTAGGCTTGCAGAATTCAATGCGAAAGATGAGTATGTTGAGGTTCAGAGTGGCGGTGAGTGCATTAACCACCATTTCCACCTGGCGGTTGGAGCCGAGCCACAGGGTGAGCGAACAGAGAGCCGGGAGTGGAGGGAGGCGAGCAAACATATCTGCAATCTGATTCTCTGCCAGGAAGGTAATCGAGGGGAATTGAAAGCCGACAGAATATCGCTCACAAGGCATGTACCCAATATGATTCCATAACTAGATGCATGAGAGATGAGGAAGCAAGTCGCAGGAGTTTCTCCATTGCAGGTATCGAGCATGGGTCTTGATTGACCACCCTGAAGTTCTCGAAGCTCAGTGACTTGAGCTTAGCAGGCGGGGAGTGTCCCAGCAGAGGGAGGAGGAAATCCTTGTGCCCGATATAGGTGGATGAGACAACCAGTTCCTCGAGCTCAGCGAGGATGAAGGAGTCCAGTGTCCCGCTGCCGTCCGAAGTGTCTGAGCCAGACTCAGCCTCCGTAGTCGGATATGTGTCCAGGAGCGAGAGAACTTCGAGGGGTCCACAAACACCAAGAAATTTGGTCAGGGAGGTCAGGCGGCGGAAATAGATGTTGCTAAGATACACCTTCTGTCCCCTTGGGAATAAAGCCATGTATGCCATGGCCATTCCGAGCTGAAAGTTTACCCATACCTGTGCCATTCAACGACACAGATGCCTGGCATCAGATTACAGGTGGAATAGGGGAATCTGATAACAGAGTCGGCGTGACCGGATTCCCATGTCCTTGAAGCCACGACCTGTGCGGACCAGGTGAAAACTTGACTTTCCGGACAATGTCTCCCAATCTCGGCATCCGGTCAAGCATCTCAGGCCATTGGGCGACATCTTCCACACATCCGAATCAAATGACGGAAAAGAGTTCCTCAATGGCCAGCGTCTTCATTGCTTTAGACATGAGCAAGAGGGCACATAAGGCTGGCACGTCGTCCACATTGTGTCCGGTAACTTCGCGCACTAGTTCAGAGGGGAGTCGGGACCCTGGAGGTTTAGTCAGATGCGGAGCTCAGGTTAATATGGATCCGCCGAAAGCGCGGTGTGCTCGCACAGCGGCCGGACCGACACCGCCACCGTAGTCTAGACCCTGCCTCAAATTGTTTTCGGAATTTCCCCCCTGTTGGTCCAAAGTCCGGTACCATTCGAATCACCAGAGAAAGCCCCGTTAAATGGAAGTATCCTCATCCCGATATCTCACGGATTGAATGATTTTGAAGCCTTTCTTTCCCCAAAGGACCGTCAGCCACCTATGTTTTTTTGTTGCACTTGTTTGCCCCGGGTCTTAGCCCTCTGCCTGGTCACGTGGTAAGGGTAGAAATGCTCGCTGCGCTCGCAAACACATGACCTTTACGAACAGGGGCCGTAAGACTGCATGTTATGGCAATTGAATATGGTGGGTAGCCCTCAGTCGATCTGTTGGTTTGCGGCAAGCTTCGTCGGCTAACGAAAGGGGTAATTTGCTCGGCAATCTCCGGTCGGAACAACGTTGAATATCGGCAGTCGTGTTCTTGGTCGTGTTCAACTGAAAGGAATAGGGCTGGGTATTATTTCCAAACCCAGATGTAATTTACGGTATCAATTCAAGGGGGTCCTCGTATCTTAAAAGTGGCCTGTAATTTAACGTAATTCACAGCGCCGCAGGCCGCAAAAATTACCGTAAATTACGGTAAAAAATGGGTGTAAAGTTTGTAAAGTTTGTAAAATACGCAGAGAATTACCGTCCTTGCTCCGAGACGCACTCTGCGCGATCCACTGTGCTGGCTTCTGAGCAACAGTTGATGTGCTCCGAGTAGCGCAAGAGCCTAGCGGTGGTTTGCCACGCCGCCAGACTGTGCTGAAGCACCCGGAGGACTGTTGGGAAATTTACAAAAATTACAGCCGGAAC